GAAACTCAGGAAGAACTTGGAACTTGAGTGAAATTACATACCCTGTTTATGACAAGAAGCTCGAAAAATATACCCTGTTCATATATGGGAGTACCAACCGACCCCCCCCCCTCCCCCCGGGGCACAACTATCGTCGTCTTGCACATCGGACAGTCCATTCGATTGTCTCCTTGATTCCCGCTTGTCTGATACCACTTAGCGATACATCTTGTACAGTAACCATGAAGACACGAGAGAGTTTTGGGCTGAGTGAATACATCTAGACAAAGGGAGCAGGTCAGTTGTTCTTCGAAGCTGTCTGTGATGTCTTTGAGCGATTTGAGTGCAGCCATTTTCGCAGGGATGCGGAAAAGGAATGTAGTGAGTCAGATTTCTTAGAATTGGAATCTGATATTCAAAGGAGTCACGTGAAGACCCTGTGGAGAATGCGTCTAGGCACGCCGCCTGTGATGACATCAATCTGGCAGATTCTTGACCTGACCTTCACTAGAGTGAATCAAATGTCTCGACTGGGTTTTGGTTGTGACGTACCGAAATATATCAAATTTGAACTTTTTGGCAGCAAAAATGTAAGCAATCCAAAGCAATTAGTTTATGTGGTCGAAACCTTTTCTTTCTTGACTCGGGAAAAGCTTTTTGGGCTCATAGTTTTGCTAGGAGACCTGTTCATACTGTCATGCTGTCTATAAATGGCCACCACAGCACCGAGAGTTCGAGTTGATATTCTACCAGTCTAAGCCGATAGGTTGAGAAATTTAGCACGATTCTATTGAACTATGAAAATCTGTTCAAAGTCTCTACAAAATTGGAATACATCGAACCTTATACGAACGGCAGTCGAATGGGTTTTAAAAGAAATCTTTCATAACTATTCTCACTGAATAAATTAGCGCGGAGCAGTATAAATTAACCCGAAACGCGTGCTTCGTCGCATTACCTCGCAAGACATCGGAAGGGCAAGTTCGCCCACCCCCCTCCCCTGGTGACGGTGGCGTACCTCTTTCCCCTTGCTGTTTGCCTCACCACGTCGCGGATCTTGCCCCATAACTTAATTACTGCGACGTGACAATGGTATTCAGTGAGGATATAGTACTATCATGGCTATCATTTTGATAATTATCATAATTACCATTTTTAATATATGCTCATCTCTACAAATAGCTACTCAATTTATGCATACTTGTATGATTATTGTTAATTGACCTCTAACATTATGACGTCTGTCTATAAGTATGTTTGCCTTTGAGCTTCTTTGTTCATTGTTATTACCATAATAGACCTTATTCGTGGTGTGACAATGTTTTCCCAATTCAGCGTGACAAACCTCTGGGGGAATGAAGAGCTATTGTTTTGAAACTCGTCGGGATATCATCATTATTCCTTTCGTATCCTTTGGGATACTCATGAATTTTTCGAAGAATAAAAACAAAAGAAAATGAATCCCCTGGAGGTTCGTCACGCTGAATTGGGAAAACATTGTCACACCACGAATAAGGTCTATTCACATGAATGTTACTTTAGCTAGACATAGGCAGCCCAAAAATATAAGCCTTCGGTTTCTCTTTTGAGCTGCCTACTATCCTTGAGAAAAATATTTTACACTAAATTCATATCCATTGTATTATAAATGTATTGTAATTATCATTGATATTCCTCTTATAATATATCTAATTTTCTCAATATGCAATCTCTTGGATGGAATAATGATTAAAAATGATTGATTGATTGAGGGAAAGGACGGATTCTACAACCCTGTCAGCTTGTCAGTAATTGTATAACATCATTTGTTCCATGGATTTTTTGATGTGTGGAGAATGCTCATCAAAACAAAATTTGATATTTGCTTGAAGTGAATTGAAAAGTATTGAGCATGAATATCTGAAAGTTCGTTTACATACAAATAAACTAGATCTTTTCACGGCATCTTGAACTTTCTTGGTTCGTTTGTACACCCGAGTAAGCTAATCCTACACTGAGCCTTGAATTTCAGCAACAGGCGAAAAAAGAATATACGTAGACATTAATTTACGACACGTGATTCGCAGCCCCACCCTTAATCAATCACTTTGTCAAATTGATTGGCAACTGTCACTTGAATATAAATCAGAATTTACACGGGATCCCTGTATGATATGGGTACTATTGCGGCATTTTTTGACATATGAAAATAAGCCTTTTTCATAGTTTAAGAATCGATTCCACTGCGCATGCGATTTTATCCCGAATTTCTCACCTTCTTTTGTTTAATTAAGAACAAAAGAAGGTTTAAACAAAAGAAGGTTTAAACAAAAGAAGGTGAGAAATTCGGGATAAAATCGCATGCGCAGTGGAATCGATTCTTAAACTATGAAAAGGCTTATACGAAGACACGCAACGCATTATCAACTGAGCCAAGGGCGGATCCAGGGGGGTCCAAGGGGGGAGCCCCCCTTCACCAGAAAAAACGATGCTTTTTTATATTGTTTTCCGTTGTGTTGACGGACGAAACTCAATTAGCCCCCCTAAACTCAATTAGCATCCCCCCACAGGGAACCCGGCTATATATTTTTTTGCTTCTTTTAGAAAATGAACTTTGCTCTTTGTGGGTTTCCTGTGTTGTGATCAGTTTCCTATTACATAAGCTGTAATCAGATCTGCGCGCTGTAATCAGATCGGCGCTGTAAACTGACAGACCGTTGGTGTTTTGTTTCTTATGGGTTGCCTGTGGTGTGTAACGCACTTTCTAGTTAACACTCAACACTCCTTTGAGTGTTTATTAGAGAGTGCGTTACCAACGGTTATTGATTTGAATTTAATTGGCTATCAGTTTACAGCCGATCTGATTACAGCGCGCAGATCTGATTACAGCTTATGTAAAAGGAAACTGATTACAACACAGGAAACCCACAAAGAGCGAAGTTCATTTTCTAAAAGAAGCAAAAAAATATAGCCGGGTTCCCTGTGTCCCCCCTAAAATTTTGGCTGGATCCGCCTAGGCATAACGGTAATGAAGCTTTATTCGGCTTTCTTCAAGAAAAATTAAAGCAAAGACCGTGTACTATAATGCTGAGATAAACTTAGGATCTGTATAAGATATAGTAAGGTGACTGACCTCGTTGCTTCTCTTGAGCACGGTGCAGCAAAATAGCATAACAGCTAATCCACTGTATACTACTTTTGCGCGTGGATTCTGTCGTTGTCAAGTATAATCCAACGGGCAGATCATTTATCTTTATTCGAGGAAACCTTTTATTATCACAGTCTCGAATGATTCATAATGATATCACAAATTACAGATTTCCTTTTCTTGTGTGGCATCTCACAAGTTTTCTCTCTGCTCTTACCCTTTTACCTATCCCCCATTCGTAAATCCTGTCATTCCCGAGCTCTGGCTTTGGAGGATAGTCTAGTACCCAGTCCTTATCAATATTGCCTGTGAAGACAGCAACGCCCGGTTGTTTTCTACCTGGAATGTGAAAGTCGCGATTCAGTCGACGTTTCCTTGTTTTATGCAGAAAAATGAGGCTTTATTCAAGGAACCCCTTCATTATCACAGTCTCCAGTGATTCATAATGATATCACACATTACAGATTTTCTTTTCTTGTGGATATTAATCGTCCTTGCTTTGCTTTTCCACATATTTTACGATGTATGGCGGTACTTTTCTGCTCGCAACTCACGGAAAAAATGGTGGAAAACAAACGTTATTTTCCACATTTATCCAAGATCCTTCAACGATACGAGCGGTGACGGCAATGGAGATTTACGAGGTATTATAAACAAGCTTGAATACTTCGAGACACTAGGGGTAAAGGTTTTGTATTTGAGTCCAATATTCAACTCTCCCATGGCAGATAATGGTTATGACATTTCTGATTTCAAAGACATCAACCCGATGTTTGGTAACATGGCAGACTTTGACATTCTTCTTTATGCCATCCATGAACGAGGATTAAAGCTTTTGCTTGACTTTGTACCAAATCACACTAGCGACCAACACCCTTGGTTTATCGAGAGCCGGCAAAGTCAAACCAATGTAAAAAGAAATTGGTACATTTGGAAGGACGCAGGCGAAGATGGAGGTCCTCCTAATAACTGGGTTAGTGTCTTTGGGGGCAGTGCGTGGACATACGACCCAACAACAAAGCAATATTACCTCCATCAGTTCTATAAAGAGCAACCTGATCTCAACTTTAGGAATCCTGAGGTTGTTGAAGCCATGAAGGATGTACTGAGGTTTTGGTTAGACAAAGGTGTGGATGGGTTCCGTGTCGATGCTGTACCCCATTTGTTTGAAGACGAGAACTTCTTAGATGAGCCGACGCTGCCTAGTTATGATCCTAAGAATTTAAAGTATGAGGATTTGCGTCATGATTATACTTACGATTTAGATGAAGTGCATGGTATCATTAGAGGATGGAGAGAAGTATGTGACGAGTATACCGACTCATACAAGCTTCTGATTGGTGAAGTGATGTCAGATGCTAATATCTGCATGAAGTATTATGGCAAAGGAAAGAGTGAGTTTGATTTTCCATTCAATTTTACTCTTTTGGGATTGGAAAAAGATTTCACTGCTGAAGATGTCAATAAACAGGTCATGGACTATCTTCATCAAGTGCCGAGAGGAGAGTGGCCCAACTGGTTGCTAGGCAACCATGATGTTCCTAGAATTGGCAGCAAAGTTGGAGAAGAATATTTGGTGGCATTGAATGTTTTAATTCTTAGTTTACCTGGCACTCCCATATTGTACTATGGTGACGAGCTTGGAATGGTTGATGCTGATATAGATAAAGCAAGGTTACAAGACTTCAGAGACCCAAGCAGAACTCCAATGAGGTGGACGGCATCCAAAAATGCTGGCTTTACACCTGGAAAACACCCATGGTTGCCAATTGGACAAGATCTTGATGACAAAAACGTGCAGCTCCAGCAATATCAAACCACGTCAGTTTTTAATATTTGTAAAACAATGATACATCTCCGTAACACAACCCCTGCATTCCATGGCTTGAAGTTTCAGGTCGTTCATGTTGATCAGTCAGTCTTTGCATATACAAGGTTTGACAGAAGGGTGACATACCTCATCATTCTGAACTTTGGGAAAGGACTATGGTCTGGGGCTCTAGATAACATTAAAGGACTGGCTACAGTTTTGATTGACAGCACAACCATTAAAGAAAAGGGTACAAGGATAAATGTGAAACAGATGATGCTGCACAAAGGGCAAGCAATAGTTGCTAAGATGGATTAATAAGCAATAAGCTTTACCGCACAAGTGTTGAAGCTGGATTGATAACATTGACATCAAATGATGGAAAATAGCAATATAAGTTAACAACCTTGCTGTTATTGGCATGGAGCAAAGTTACAATTGAAGTAACACATGAATTATCAGCAAAAATTAGGTAACAGATGATCATAATAAATAAGGAACTGTAGCCACTTCAAGGAGTATCCAGCAACTTTGCTATTTTCAAGGATTTTTCAAGTGCACTAAAGATGAGTTTTGAATTCCAGGGCTTTTCAAGGATTTCAATGAGTAGCACAAACCCTGAATATAGATCTTATTATTTTAAATAAACATAATTATAGACGAAGAACTAATGTATCAAAAGTCAGTTCGCATACACTTTTTATTGATGATACTCAAAATAGTGTGCTTGCTAGCTTTCATTTATAGAGCATATTACGTGACATCTCAGCATCCTTGTTGGTGTATGAAAACAATATGTTTTCTATCCTTGGGGAATTGAACTCTATTTTTATGCAAAAAATATGCAGAAAGTTAAGACTATTGCTTGGTACACCAATATGGCTGCCTTGTCACCAGTTGGTGTACAAAAACAATGTTTTCTATCCTTGGGAAATTGAAGAAAGTCTCTATTGTTTGGTACGCCAATATGGCTGCTTTGTCACGTGAGAAAAAAAGCTCTATATCATCTAAAGTGATTTATGGATTTCGAAATTGAATAGGTAACTTTTCAACAATAACTGAAGAGGAAAGCTTGCAAAAGAGTGAGAAGTCAAGCTGTTTTAATCTATGTAATCAGAGTAATAAACATAATAATATTATCTTGTTGTTGTAATAGTACAGCAAAACTTGTCAGCTAGAGATAAGAATATATATATATATATATAGTGCAAATAATATACCTGTGAAATAGTATAGATAGTGTGCAAACAATATATCCGTGAAATATTAGTAATACTAAGTTACGCTAATTTATGCTAATTCTATTGCTTTCTTTTGTTTAACTAGCACTATTTTGAACAATTTAGTAATTAGTGTTTCACGGATATATTGTTTGTACTCTAGCTAGCTAACTAATTACTAACTTTGTGCTATTTGTTGTCTAAGTCTAATTAATTAAAGAAATAGTTAAAGAAATAGGTGAGCTGTGACGGGTAAACTAGTGCGCACATTTTGAAATATTTTTAAACACACTTACAAAAACTGAAACAACATTTTATTGTACATTCTTTTCCTTCAAATAATTTTACATGTTCGCATTTTCATATCTATTCATTTGCGTATTGAGTTGTCACTCTAGTAAACGCCCGTGTCCTTGTCATGCCTCACTGAATTCCTATGTCTTGTCTAATTAAGCGCTAACTATCTCCTATTTCATCCTAACAATTTCACAGGTATATTACTTGCACTCTATTACATCTACAGTAACACTTTCAAAATGTTTGTAAAAGGAGGAAACCAAAGTTTCTCTACTAGAAGCGTATCAATGTGCATTTGATCATATTAGTAAATGGAAAATGGACTGTGCAATATCAGTAATATGGTCCAAGTAATATTAACATTAGTATTACTGTATCACTAACGGAACTAAGATAGATTTGTTAGAAGCATAATTTTTATAACTTTTATATAAAGAATAAAAGTGCCAGTATTTTTTATTTCAAATATTTATTATTTTATTTATTATTTTTCTGTCTATATTATTATATTGATCTACCATAACAATTTCAATACATAACTTGGATAAAGCAGCCCATACAAGAGCATCATTATTATTATTAGAGGTGGGCTGGTGCACAAGAAGTGGTAGATTACTACAGTAAATTATGCATTTTCATGCAAAGAATAAAATGCAGAATTTGAGTGACCTTTTAACCAGATAAATTTTTAGCACTAAAGTAACTTAAGTACTAAAAATTGCATGGTCACTATATAATATTATAATTGCATATCTCTACCTTGCATATAAGTGATGCTTTATCCTCAAGATTAACATCACAATTGTTTCTTCGTTCATGCTATATTATGCTGATTGACACAAACGATGAGACAGTTTAATGAGCAATAGCGTACTGTCAATCAAAGAAATGGTAAGAGTAGTTACATAGAAACTGAGCAAAGGCAAATGAGAACAATACTTATTAATTGATTGGCAGCATAGTCTATTGTATATCTGTCGACAATTTTGATCTCAAATAGCACATAGCAATGGAAACAGAGGTAAATTATTTTCCTCCAGGTTGTGCATTAGACATCAGGGCTTTAAACAAAGGGTTGATAGTGCTATCCGACCAATAAATAATATTGTCAAACTCATTAATAATTCATGAGGAAAACACAACAGAAATCACGACCATGAAGAGTGTAGTAAATCTGATACAAAATTGTGTTCATTTGCATAAACTTTAAGTTGGATTTTCTTGGGCAGATTCACTTTAATTTTGAAAATTTTAGTGAAACACAAAGGAACTAACCTAGACATTTGACAAGCAATCTACAGTATTCGTGTCTGTGTTGTATCTGATATACAAACTCTTGGCTATGCCTCGAGTTTGTATATCTGATACAACATGGCCACTCATACTGTATCATATTACATAATAATATCATCTTTATTTATCCTGATAAAAAACCAATCAGCTGGATATAAGAACAGTTGGTATAAACCGGTGATCCTTATACAGTGGATAAGTCGATGCTGTTATCCAACAAATAATTTCTCAACTGGATAACATTTATGGCATGTGTTGGATAGCCTTATTCACCCGTCGTATGACCAGGATCAGGTAATTCCATCATGTGACTCCTTCATGATAGTCTTGATGAAAGCTTGAAGGACTGTCGAAATCTTGTGCATCGAGAAGAAGTACCTTTTTTTTGCAATCAATTAACCCACTGTTGGGTCAGTCCGCAGGCTTTAGCACAAAAACTGCATCACTCAAGACATAGAAGTTTTCATACAAATCTCCCTCACATAAATAAGGTACTTTACTAAAGCATTCCACAGCAAATCCTGCAGGAGTGAAGACATCTTGGACTAAACTTGCAACTTGCTCACCCCAGGTTTTTCCAGACAGTGTTATCTGTTCTGTTGGAGTAACTAGACTTCTTCCTACGAAATAATATATTAAAAGAATAGACTTCTTTAGCTTGGGCATAGTATAATGTTTCCCATTTCATTTCTCTTCTAGAATAATATTCTTTGTTTGAATTGTATCCATATTCATGTGTCTTCTCAGTGCAACCATCAAATGCAGAAATGATACTCTAGGGAATGACGTGGTCTGTAATGGGGAAACATATTACACCCAAGCTAAAGAGATCTACTGTACAGTTACATAACACTGATATTCAAACAGAAAGTTTAATTTCTTAAAAGAACCTCTTAATAGTACGCTTACAAAATAATGGAATACCATAATATTAGCTACAAGTCTAGATGTGATTTGCTCAGACAAGTGATTTGTAAACATCTGTGTTATAGGTGACTGCCTACTTTTGGAAAAAAATATTAAACTTTTTTTAAAACTTCCATTTTCCAAATTACTGTAAAATTTAATGCTGATTCCAAATCTTGAAAGAAAAATTGGGTGCCCTGAGAGTCCAGTGCAAAACTTGAGGGTTTTGCCCTTAATGCGTATGGTTCTTCAATAAAATCTTGTAGATTTTTTAGCGGTTTTTAAGCGGCGGCACGCAGCAGGCAGTCACCTTAAGCTACAATGCAAGCCAATTACGGAGCATAAAAACATTGACTATCCAATCACAGCACATACAGTCATGCCAAAGTTTTTTCTCCAGAATGTAGTCTATAGTTTCAAGTTTGAGATCAATGTACCTGACTCCACACATGGACTAAATGGTAACACGACAGCTATCACAAGTCTTCCAGTACTAGGCTTTAATGCATTCTTTGCATCTCTCAAAATAGACAAGGGCTTGTCACATCTGTCTAGAAGATTAAGGCAACTAATGACGTCATATGGATCATCTACGTTGGACCACTTATCTATCTCCAATACTCTGCAAATTAAAGTTAAATGGACACAAATCAAACCTTTTTGGCTTGGGTATAATGTTTTCAGACCATTTGATGGTTGTGCATGAGAAGAAAGTAACATAAAATGGCCACAACTCAAACAAAGAATTATATTCTCAGTAGAATGACATGTCTGAAATGTAAAAACATCAATATGCTCAATATATTTTTATTGAATGCATGAGATGCACTCGGCTGTCACCTCAATCGTTCTAAAGTCTCGGGTTTGATTCCTGTACAAATGATCACATATACAAATTTAAGCCGGGGTAAAGCTAGCTCTTATCTTTGCTGATCATGAAATGATCATGGTTTTTTGTTCTGCTCCAGATTATCCAGATTTCTTCCTTCCTTAAAAAACACTGACACTAAATTCAAATTTAGATCTGAGAGTTTTAGCCATTCCCTTACTTAAGCATAAAGAGTGCTAAATTTATTGTCATATATTATATATGTTGGCTTATTTTATCAATTGACCAGTTCTGGTATTTGCAAGCATAGAAATTAAGCCTCTAAATGTCATGTTTAAAATGGCTTGTTGGGTGAGAATACCTTGTCAAACTAGCAATATTTCAGGGAGAAAATCAAAGCTTCTTTTCTATTCTGCCTAATTATAATCATGTTTTTCTTAATGTTTTCTGATTGAAATATTGAGATACTTACTTGTATCCTTTCCAGTGTAACCTCCATCTCATGGCAGGTGATTGTTCTGTGGTGTAAACTTCCTCAAAGTAAGGTGCCATCATTTCAGTGACCTTTCCATCCCCAGCCCCAAGGTCAAGAAGTCTTTTTCTCTTATCATTAACATCCATTCCCAGAAGAGTTCTGAATTGTGCATTAGAAAATACAAACATGGAGCCTCTATTGAGGATTCTGAAAAAGAAAACTAATTAAATAAAACGTTTATGGAAAGAATGGGTAGCGTTGGAGCTGCTAATGCACTGCCTCTCACCAATGCGACCTGGGTTTGAGTCCTGTCAGTCTCGGTGTCGTATGAGAGTAGTCAGTTTGTGGGTTCTCTCATGACTGGCATGCTTTGAGGGTTTTTCTCTGGGCTCTTGGTTTTCCTCCCTCCTTAAGATAACAACTTCTAAATTCCAATTCAAACTTTGGGCTTTCACCTAGTATGGGGCCTAAATTACCTCTCTTGTGATTTTTCCATGCTGTGATACAACAGCTAAAGCTCAATAGAATAGATGAAAAAAAAATTAAGTGGCCTGCAATATTAGAAAACAAGAGGTGACGATAACTATCTTATAGTGCCTATACCACCTAGCTTAATATTTTCATCATATGTTTTCCTAATCATGATTACTATTCCCTTTAGTAACTAGTACAATGTTTTTCATACCCATTCATGGTAGTAACAGACATGAATAAACCAGTTAATCCTTTGAACAACATATGACCAAACTGAGTAAAAACAGCATCAGACTTGTCACAGGAATTCTGGAGAAATTCTCTTGTTTCTTCATCAAGATCACTTTGGATAAACTTTGCATGGAGATCCTCAGGTAATGACCGAATATCATCATAATACCACTGGAGGTAGAAAAGAATTCATTCATTTACTTTGTTTATTCATCTATTCTATCCATTCATTCACTTCCTTCCTTTTTCCTTTCTTCCTTCCTTCTTCCCTTTCTTTCTTTCTTCCTTCCTTTCTTCCTTGCTTGCTTCTTTCTTCCTTCTTTCCTTCTTTCCACAAATTACACATATACACAAAAAACATGGTATTCATTTGTTCATCAATACTTTGACTATCAATGACTAACATGTTTCTTGTGTATTTGATGTCTCCTGTGTATTCATATGTAGATTGATTCACTTGAGTGATATTGACTAAATAGGCACTAAATTACGACATTTAGTTAATAACTATTTTGTTTTTATTTCACGGTCCTATTAAGTACCATCGCTCTAGTTGTTATAAGTATAATTATTATTATTCTAATAATTTAAATTTCTTAAAATCAAGCAATCAGTTAACTTATTTCATTGATTCTTTCTCTTTTCATTCCTTCAATTCATTTCTTCCTATCTTCATTGTTTATGTTTCTAGCAACACACTGTAATTTCCTATTTTCTTTCAAAATAAACCAAATATGTAAACCTTTTGTTTTTCCTCTGACCCCCTCCCCCTGGGAATTTCTGATTTCCTCCACAGTGGGGCTTGGATATTTTCAGGAACCACACAATTGATGACTCTTAAAACTCCAGTGTATGCAGGGCTTAGCCTAACTTTTGGGGTCAGTAAACAAAAGCAGAAATTAGAATAATGAAACAAGCAACTCCTGGATTTGAGGCTAAGCCTGAATACACTGGAATTCTAAGAGTTGTCAAAACCACTATAACAATGAGATTTTAATCAATGAAATTAAATTTGTTTCAAGCCAATTGAATTTATAGAATTGACATAAACTTGAAAGCCATAGTAACAAAACTGTAACCTAAAAAATGTTTAACAATATTTATTTCATCAAACAAATCATAAACGTTTTATAGGCTACAGATTGATTGAGCTTAATTCAAAAATATGTAGGATTACATTTTTCAGTAATTTTATTTTAATATCTTGATCAGCAAAGGTTTTGGAAATACACAAGATCACAAAATTCAATGATACCAACCAAACATGATGTTTTGGAGTGTAAAATAGCTAGAGTTCAATGTTGCAATGTAATCGTTTCAATCTAGTTGACTTTATATTGCAGCATTTAACTCTAGCTATCTTACGCTTGATAATGGGTTCGTGATGACTCCAAAATGTCGTGTTTTGTTGGTATCATTGAATTTTGTAATCTATAATATCAACATATTGTCTCACTTCAGTAAGGTCAATCTCGTTGGTGCGATTATTCTGAGCCTCAGCCAGATGAGAAAGGAGTGTTCTAGCTGCCATGGATCTGATATATCTGGATGTCCACATAGGATGGATAATGCCTTGGTTACCTGTGGTATCAATCAAAAGAATGCAATAATAATTATAGAATCAGAATCAGTAATATCTTCATAAGCTTAGTTTCATAATAAGCTTTCTGCTAGAACACATGTCACTCTCTTATGTTTGAGTTGTATCCACATTCATGTGTCTTCTCATGTGCAACCGTTAAACAAAGAAATGATACTCTAGAGAATGACACGTGGTCTGAAATGGGAATTGCACCAAGACGAATAAAAAATTCAAAATTTTTTTCTAAAACAGTTTATAAACCATTACCTGGAAAGTAGATCACGAAGAAGCCAACAAATATACAAGCCCGCCACATGAACTGATATCTCCGCTATATTTCCTAATAATCAGTATTTTCCTTCGATGTATTTTCGTAATATCATCATTGAGAAAAAATATTGATCACTTCGTCCGCCATGTTGGATGTGGCATGAATGTTATTATAGTGAGTAACACCGCTGTATGCTAGGTATGTAGGTAAAAAAAAATAGGTGTGGGAAGGGAGGGGGGGATAACTATTGGTACTCTATTTTTGCTAGATCTTTCCGTTCGCTTGTGACGTCAAAACAAAAGAATTCCAATCTCCCGAGAATTCGAACCTATTGTTTTAGCCCCCAGATTGAGCTGCAGGAGTCTATAGAGGACACAATGACTTGGACATCAATGTAAAACAAATAAAAGGGATTTTTTAATTTTTTTTATTGCCTCCTTGGACTTTTGTCTTTTTTGGACTTCCTCTGAATATGGAACAAATAATATTTCGAATGAAACACCGCTGAAATGTCATGTTAAAAATGTCTTTGGGAATGTTCACTTTTTATCGCGAGGGTGGAGGGGTGGTATTCGTTTAGTTACCCATACTAGGGATGAACTCACGAACTAATGGCCCTTGTTCGCCAAACTCAACCCATGACTCTCCCCCACACGCAATACACCGTGTGTAAATCATTATAAACGGTTCCGTTTATTATGAAAGTGCTGTGTATTTGTCATGTACCCCCTTCCCCCCAACTTTTCTCTCTCCCTTGCGTCTGTTTTTTTTATAACCCCCTTCCCCCACTGGCTTTTACACTTTCAAAAAAATCTCCCCGTCCCCTCCCCCTTTCATTCTTTCTCGCTATGAATGCTATTATATCAGGTAATACCGCTGTATGCCATGTACGTGGTCTCGGTTCTAGTGAAGTGACATGGATATTTATCTTGATGATCATCACATGGAAATATTTTGACACTAGTTTTCCGGTTCAAATTACCCAATTCGTTGCGAAACAAACAACCTAATGTACAGTATTACCCCACAGCCAAGCTAACGACCACTAAATAACAAGAAATGGTGTTCCAATATGGCCAAAAGTGCACTGAGCAAATCAAGTCTGGCGCCGAAAAGTGCCTCGGTGAAGCAACCACTTTTGACCAAGTTGTGAACACACAACAAAACACAGCTCGCTGTTTACAAGTCTCTGGAACAGCACTGTTCTTATTATCTATAGCATTATGCGTTGCATTTTTATGTAGGCACTATTTAAAGGATTTCTTAGAATGGCTTCAGAACCTTGACGATTGGCAGGGCGTGTTACTCTTTGTTGTCATGTTCACACTCGTGTCCTTTCCTATGACTTGGGGTTACATCGTCCTTAACGTTGCTGCCGGCTATCTTTACGGTTTTATCTATGGCTTAGCTGTGGTGTATTTATCTGCTGCTGTTGGAGTTTCAACTGCTTTTGTCGTCTGTCGAAGGTATATGCGAGACTGGGTTAGTTCAACGTTGGAGTCGGAAAGTTTTAAAGCCGTTGTTCGTGTTGTCGAAGGCACAAAAGGTTTTAAAGTCATTGCCTTGACTCGCCTTACTCCGATTCCTTTTGGCCTTCAAAATGGCTTATTTGCGGTGAGTTTATACACTGAATATTTAGTTTGTTTTGTACGTGTTTTATGTTTTGTCAGTTGTACAGACGTCTGCATAAAACAAATAACGTTTTATATCATTTTATTCATTCAAAGAAATAATCAAACAAACTCAGGGCTGGGTTTATCAATAATCGTAAGATTTGAAAAAAAACAATATTACTAATTTTCCAATCCATAGTAAATACAAGTTCAAAATCTTGAATATCAATGGAAAATCTTATTTAAATCTTCGAGGTTTCAAATAACATTTACAATATTTGTTTTGAGCCATTGACTAAACCTCAAGCTAGGGCGACACTCCTATTTTTAAATTATACACCATTACGTCAAAAAATCTTTTATACAGTCGTTAAAAAAATCAAATTGACATATTTCATTGCATCAGTATTTTTTATTTTTACCCTCATTGATACCATACTCTCAAGGTCTTGGATTAATATGAAATGTAATGTAATCTGATATTTCTGTCTATGCATTCTTTAGTTATCCGTTGCAGGTTTCAACGTAAATATATATGATTATTCAAAAAATATATAAAGCGTTTCTCTTTACTCTTATAAAACCTTGTGTAACCGGTTTTGATAATGTACAAATGTAATTCTCACATTCTTAATAGATTATTACCTAATATTTATTTGATTTTTAGAATATTCAAGCACACCGATTTGGCTGTTTGCCAGTTCAGTCCTTTTCTCATGACAGACCAGTTCAGACAAGTAGAAAAATATTGAAAACTTTAATATTTACTTGTTTAATAGGCTATCTTATAAACAGACTTTGGCCTATTATACAGCTTTCAATTTGTTAGGCTTATCCATCGATTCAAGGGTTTTTCTCTGGGATCTCAAGTTTTTCTCCCCTGCAAAGCCTAACAAGCTAAAATTATTGCAATTCAGTTTGTTTATAATTGTAATAAAAAACATGTGTAATACCCTACTAGTAAAGGCCTTCAATCTCTGCTCAAAGGGTATATGTGTGTGAGTGCTGTGTGCAGAATTGGCAGAACACACACAAGAGAAGTTTTAGGAGAAGCATGTCTTATCAAGTGCATGCATTTATAACTCCACACAGTACAACAAGCATTTTTATTTATTCCATAAAAGACAAATTAGAGTAGCCAGTATTTTGGAAACCAATAGAGTACACAAGTGTGACGTCATGAAAAAATTAATTTTGACTTTAATTAATTTCGATTTCTAATTTCTATAGACAATCAAAAAAGACGTTTACACACCAAATTTGACGAGAATCGGACAAATATCAGCTGAGATATGACCATTTGAATATATAATTACTCGATACAAATCACTGTATTTTTGGCTTGGTTCCAAACTTTAGTCACCCAGCCGAAAATACAGTGATTTATATGGAGTAATTRTATATTCAAATGGTCATATCTCAGCTGATATTTGTCCGATTCTTGTCAAATTTGGTGTGCAAACGTCTTTTCTGATCATCTATCGAATTTGTTAACCAAAAATATGATCAAGCTAAAATTAATTTTTGTGACGTTATCACTTGAGTACTCTATTGATCAAATAGAACTTGTGTGTTCGTAAGGGACACACCTCCAATTAATCAGAACACAAGATTCATAATAACTTTATAGCAGTTAGTTACATTTAGTCATGTCCTCAGACTTTGGTCAACTTTGAGGTTGTTTCAAGGTATTGATAAAAATGTAAAGGTTGAAGGTCTTGTTTTAATAATACCTTTAAAAAAAAAAATTATATCCATGGCTAGATTCAAGAAAAGCTGAACCGTGCAGCCCACTGAGAAATAGTTCACAGGTTTTCAACCAATCAGAGCGTGCGTTATATCATTCATCTCACCCCTGCGCACGCTATTGATGCCATCGGATTTGAAAATTAGGAGAAAAAAGCCAAGTGTCCATTGAGATCAGAGTGCGCGAGCATGCAGCCCATAGGGAAATAGTTCGTTGGTTTTTGGCCAATCAGAGCATGCATAATAATCTAGCTATATTATGACATCCCTTAATTTATTTCACTGTATTTGAATTTCATTTATTCTATTTTTTCCTTATATTACAGGCAACAAATGTTAGTCTACCAAAATATGTCATGTCTTCTTTACTGGGTCTTCTTCCTACTCAAGCATTAAATGCATACATGGGATCAACAGTTAGATCACTGGAGGATGTAGTATCAGAACAATCTGGTGGATATCTAGTTCTATTTGCTCAAGTAATCATTGGTGTTCTCCTAATGTCCTATGTCATACGACGAGCACGGCGTGAACTTAACAAGACTTGTGAGGAATTAGAAAATGAACAAAAACTTAATGGTCAAGTCATAACTACAAGTGCTCGTTTTTTGCCTAAGTTTTTAAACAAAAAAGTTCTTAATTATGATATAGAAGGACAGGCATATAAAGAAAAGCCCAAGAACTCAAAGAATAAGTTCAAGAAAGGACACCGAAAATCACATTCTGCATCAGCAATTCTTGTTGAGGTGAATGAAATGAGTTTAGATAATCCAAAAACGCCTTAACATGTATTTAAAAGTTTTTTTTAACTATTAAAATTGATATCAATACAAGGACAAGATAGAGTAAGAACAGGTAAAACAAACTCACCACTCATTGCGTAGTTCCAGAAATTATCCATACCCCCACCCCCAAGAGGAATTTGGAATTCCAAGTGGTAGGGGGGTCAGAGAAAGGACAAAATTACCGAGTTTGTATGGAAAAAAATTGGAATTTCTGGGGGTAGGGGGGTCTGAAAAGATCCTCCGTAGGGGGTGGTATGGATAAATTCTAGAACTACAGATTTCAATAAAGTTTTTTCACTAGCTGGCACCAAAGGTTTTCTTACTTTTTGTAAAAGTGAAGTAGTGAGAAGCAATGCCCCTTCAGTTCATTGTTCAAAGTTTGATTTCCATCTTGCTTTGAAGCTTGCATTTATGAAGCCAACGATGCCAATTTAAATTCTGGGCTCAGATTAAAAGTTTACTTACTGTAGTTCTTCACAGATTCATGCAAAGCTAAGATTATTGTAGCTTCCATCTTAAAGTTATTTGTTTGGTGTGATGTCTTGTTCAAAAAATCCTTTCATGAATGACAATGTATATTTTGATGTTTTGAGGTAACGCCGGTATTGAAATCTACAATCTTTGTTAGTTTCATCAGCGCAAGCTTCAAAACGAGATGGAAATCAAATTTTGGGTAATGAACTGAATCTTTGAACCTTGATAGAAACACACGAGCTGCTGGTTTGACTGTAACAGGTCCAAGCCTGGTCCACCTTATCACTAGGACATTTGATAAAGATGTGTAATATTAGTCCAATCCAACTTGTGATCTATCATCAATGCTGCATTCTGATTGGTGGGCGTCAAATCAAGGCATTTCCATAATATTCTATAGGCACCGTCACAATCCCTCGAAAATTGTGTTAGCCGACAATACTATAGAAACACATCGATTGACCCCCATCAAAACTCTATAACAGATAATTGTACTATTTCGTGTGTGAATGAGAACCGCTGTATTATAAGGCATTAATTTTGTATATATTTAACTTCACATACTTTTAGTTTGGGTTACCTGTTGACATGCTCTATCACTTGTGAATCAAATATTTCACCCCATATTAGGGGTGGGTTTAGGGAAATATTTAATCAACTCCAATACCCTCTTTTATGAGGGATCCTCTTTGAAAAAATAAACATTGCAATACCTGACTAAGTTGTTGTGTCTGAGCTTATTTTGTTAGTAAGACATTCCTGCCTCATTCACCCTACATACCCTCCCCCCCAAAGTTGTTGTCTGAACTTAGTTTGTTAGCAAGACATTCCTGCCCTNNNCCCCCCAAAGTTGTTGTGTCTGAGCTTATTTTGTTAGTAAGACACTGATTCATATGATTCATAAGTTTTTAAGTGGTGAAATAATTTGGGCCAAGGAGCATTCGTGTTTAGAATTTTTGGAAAATTTGGCAAAAATGTACAAACCTTCGTTTATTCAAAGAAATATATTTTTGTTTGCATGGCCCCTTCCTTCAGGCTGTGTAAAAACTAGATGACCTTTCATTGGATTCTTCCAGTCCTCCCCTGTCCTAAAGAGTGAATGCTCCCTAATGTGTGAATGGGTTTTCAGAAATTGAATCTTAAACTGTTGTCACTATGGAATTTGAGCACGAAAAGCCCAAAAAACAAGATTTTTCACATCAGCGCTTATTTGCATGAGTCTCGGGTTCTCGTGCATGCATGCATTCTCTCATAAAAACCATCAAAGCTAGTCGCTCACGAAGCCTCGGGCCGATTTTTCCCCATATCTCATTCCATTCATGCCTAGGGCTTTGTGGGCGAATTCTGCTAGTGAAAATATATAACTGTACATTTGGGCTTAAAATTATTTATAAATAAGAAAATTTAAGAATATTAATCTAATAATTTCATATCCAACTGTCTCATTCATTTATAAAAATGCAAAAGGAGACATTAAAATGACTAGTATTTAAGATTAAAGAAATTTTATTTGTTCTATTAGTACCAAGTGTCAGGTGTTTTTGTAGTACAGTACTTGACCTAGTGGCACCTATGGAGTGATCACTACACAATTAACTCTGAAAAAGAGAGGCCTCAAGGAGACAGTATACACCAAATTTAAATAAAAAAGTTGAAAAGGTTTAATCGTCAAAGCTAAACATTGAAGGGCATTCTGAGTAAAAAGATAACGCCAATATTATGCATAATTGAGGTTTTGCAGCCCTATAATGTGATTAATTCAAATGCCCTGGACATTGACTGACCTAGAATACCTCTCGGTATTACAAAGCTATGGACAATTGAACCTGTCAATTTCAACCCCAAATTTTTTTTTGATTTGGTTAAAAGTTTTATAGAGTACAAACACTAAAAGTGTGCAACACTTTGCACTATTTGGCAGTAAATAGTGCTAATTAAACGATAGAAAACAATAGGATTAGCATTATTTAGCAGTATTTAGCGGTATTTATGTTACACACTTATAGTGTTTGTACTCTACCAGATAAGCTATCTATAATTAATTATCACTATCATATTTATGAATTAAAAATAAATAAAATCATCTTGAAGATACACCTACTTGCAAGAATCTTGTCACACGATATTAGAACATTAGTAATTTAGTGAGAAAGAAATAAAAGACAAAAGAAAAAGTTCAGCTTCATTGATCTTCTTTTGTTTTTTAATATAATTCCTATCTCACTAAATCACTAATGTTATATTTTCGTTAAGACAATGTTCTTGCAAGTAGGTGTATATATATATTATTTTAGGAACAAGATGGAAACATCTAGAAATTAAAAGTTGTAGTTTCTTCTATGGATATAAATACATGTATATATTCCCTGCATGGGCAAGTAATGAATGAAATGTTATCTGTGAGGCATTTAATAACTTATATTATTGAAAGATTTGCTATTGTGTGGTTCCAAAAATTATCCATACCCTCCTCACAGAGGAGTTTTTCAAGACACCCCCCTACCTCCCGGAAATTCCAATTTTCTTCCATACAAACTCTGTAATTTTTGTTCTTTCTCTGACCCTTCCACCCTTCGAGAACTCCAAATTCCTCTGTGGGGTGGGTATGGATAATTTCTGGAACTACACATTAGAGAATCATACCCTGGACTCCAGAGGTTCTATTTCACTTCCTTTGGTCGTAGCAAGGTAACGAGCAACTGTGAAAGGCACAAGTGAAAGGTGCTTTAAATTTCTCCTTGCATGAACTTCCCTTTACCAGCAAATACTGGAGTGAGAATAAATAACCTCTGGATCCCAGTGCTGAATAGCACAGTTTAAATAGAGTACATAACATATACTGAACCCCTGAAAAACTTTGTAAGAAATTGCGCAATTTAGTAAGTTCAGTACGCCGTAGACCTACAAACCTTTGCACTAACTTGTACAATTTTATTAGTTACTTTGCACCATTTAGCACTAAAAATTTTTCACTTTTTATTTTTACCCTGCACAGGTTTACTTGACGCAATCTGTTAATAATTTATGGCGATTTTTTCAATTGTCTTTGATTTGACATAAAACTATCCAACACCAAAATTTTCTGGTAAAGTTGCAATTGCACTAGTTACTAGTTTTAATTGCATAAAAAACTGTTTCAATATTTGTGACAGGGTGATCTGCCTCCGAGGTACTTGTTTGTTCCTTTGAAAAATTTCTACTAAATGTCAAATTGGATGCACTTTCAAGTGCTTTCAATGGCTATGGTGATTCACAAGCTTATACATGTACATACATGGACATGTCAGACTTTAGAATTAAAACAATTTCTTTCAATTCTAGTTCGACCGGCCCCAAGCCTCTGAACAACGAAAATAAGAATTTAAAGATAATTTTTGAATTATTTTTAAAAATACTCATACTAGTCTTGAGGCTTCATAAAACCCCCTTTGAATTTTTTCTTACTAGTAGAATGAGATATGTCTCTATCCTCATCATCATCGTTATCATCATCTACGATAACTGTTGATCTGTCTCTTTTATTTGAATATTTCTTGCCTATTGTGCCAACCAGAGTATCATATCTAGGAGAAAAATTGGGAGATATTTCTAAAGTAAATAAGAAGCTGTAGTCTCCTACTTAGGGCAGTGAGAGTGGCATGATGACACTAATAGTGGCTGCGTACATGTAGGAGACCAGTAAGAAGCAAGTTTTAGGCTTTTACAAATCCTTGATCTCCGTACAAAGTCCTATGCCTCCGTATTAGTTCACTCATGCTGAATACAAAAAAGGCAGCACAACCAGGATGACTTTTGCAGGACCAAGGACTTTTCCAACTTGTTTCACCCCAATTTTAACGACCCATAAATGGGTTGTTGAATTATGCTCACTCTTTTTATTGTATGGAAATTTAGTGTGCGCTAGAAAAATACAGACCAACATTGAATGGAGAGAAAGCAAATGAAAATCCTGTAAGAAGAACAAGCTGACCTGTCGCAACTTTGATGCTTTATTTTTTTCCACTTGCTTTACTCTCTAGTCTATGAGTCTTAGAGAGGTCAGCTTGGAGCAAGTCTAGAAGCAGTTGAGTGAATTGTTTACTGCGTTGCATGATATACTGCTATCTACCCCTGAGACAATAATGTTCAATCAATGGAAGGGTATGCCAGAAACTTTCGCTGAGTGGCAACAATACTGTATATGGCATAATTAATGGTGGAGGTACTGTAACTCTAAAAACCCTTCCATGTCGATTGCTCACATCCATTCCATACTACATATTTATAATTACAATATGAATATTAAATATTAATAAACATATAGGTTCCCCATTGCTGTATACCTTCTAGCCATCTCTTCATCAGATACAGTTGCTTCTCTCTCCCTTTCTTCTGATAAAATTTCTTCATCCTCTGCTTTCATCTGTTTGAAGGTTTTCTAATAAACACAGTAAAACATATTCATGAGGAGTTGAAATTTAAATTGGCTGATCCCGAATCCATTGTACTACCTTCAGGTTACTGTGTTTCTATGTCGGACAAACTAAAATGTGTTTCTTTTTACAATAACTTACAAATTTCTCATAAGCTGATAGGTTATTTTTTATCATCAATAAGAGGACAGACAGACAAAGCTGACGTGAACGAGTGCGTGCTCTTTCCGTTGGTTATTTTGATCACTAAGAATGAGAAGTGTTTATGGTTTTTGTTATTGCGTAAAAAAACAAAGAGACATCAGTTTTTTAATGTGTCTGTTCTCTTATTGACGATAAATTTCGTCATCACATTGTCAAAGTTGTACAGGCAACTCTCTTTGAATGACCACTCTCGTAATTGACCATCTCCCGTAAGGGATCACCTTTTGAAATTCCCGTTTTGTTCCCCATATAAACTCTCCAAAAAAACTCTCTCGTAAGCGACCCGGCCACTCTCGTAAGCGACCGCGACCACCTTTGGGGCTAAAATTTTGGAATTTTTCAATGTTTTTCCTCTCCCGTAAGCGACCACCCAAGAGCCAGTAATGGTGACAGATATTTTAACAATAAAAAATTTAAGAATATAGAGTCATCGGGTATTAAATACCCGACAAAATGTTGAGAATCACAGTACTGTAAAGTACATATAGCACATTCAAAGTTTTGATTAAAACAGTTTAATCGTTAATGCAGTAGTTTTAACATGTGAGTTACAAAATTATAAATGGTTTAGGCTTCCTGTGTTGGGATTCCCATTGTTTGGGCTTCCTGTGCTAACTCTCTAGTAAGTGGCCATCTCCCGTAAGCAGCCACTTTCTCCCTGGGTTGGTCGCTTTACGGGAGAGTCGACTGTATGTGGATCCACGAGGCGTAGCGACACTACTTTCACAATGCGATGACACAATTAATCATCAAATAAGAGGAAAGACACACAACATGGTACTGACACTGATTGCTTAAACTTCTAAATGTCTATCTTAAAATAAATCTATTCTTTACTAAAGGTACATWAAAAAAAAATCAAGAATGGTAAATTGAAAATGTTATATTTTCTACGGTATTGTTCAAATATACAGTGCTAACAATAGTTTTAACTTTTTAATTGGTGTATTTATCTAAAATGAATGGCTCATTTGTCTATTTACTATTTACAATAAGAGGAATTCAAAATGGTAAATTCTATAATTTATAAAACTAAGATCAAGTCTATGATATTTACTTTACCTCAACTGTTGGGTTAAAATTCTTGAAAGACATTCTGCCATTGCTGTACAGTTGTTCACACTTCACATAACTTGGTTCTATTTCCACTCTGGATTTGAACACAACAGCATATTGTTAATATTATATTTGGTCATGATCTAATAATAATCGGAAGAATGTGTAGACAATGTTTGGGGGAAAATACATATTGTCATGACCTTTCATAGCTGATTGCCTTCACATCACCAATAGTGCATTTTGGGCTTGATGTATACATCTAGTCAAAATGCGTACTATTAGAATTTGCTAAGGCCGGCTTAGATGGTACGATTTTCACCTACAACTATAGTATACAACACGCTCGCGTCTGTCATAGGCGAGTTGTAGGCTTGATTTACATGCTACGACTCGTGTTGTAGGATTGTGCAAGTGTGTTGTATACAATAGTTGTAGCCGGAAATCGTACCGTCTAAACCGGCCTTTAACAGGTGGAATATTATCCTAAATTTGTGGTCAATCATTCCCTAGCAATCATTTCTTTTAGATTTATGCATGTTGTAGATTTTTGAAGTATCTTAATTTTAAGGCAAAGAAAAATGGGGGTCACCGAATAGGTTTCCTAGATATTTTGCTGCAAAGAAGTGAAAAATGGTATTTTGATATTTCGCTCATCAAAACAATCAAATGACATAATCACTATGAGCACGTGTGCACTAAACTCATGAGTAGAAAGGCTCCGCACAAACAATGCCCACAAACATACTTAACGGAACTGTAAAAAGGAGTATTCATAGTTTATTGTTTTGTGTGTGAAATAGATGTCAGTGCATCAGGGCTGTCAACCCGGGAGATATCTGGAGATATTGATAGGAATGGGACATGACGTCACAGCGCGTCAAAAAGAGCGTGAAAAGACATCTTTTGCTTTGTAACATTAGATGTGATTGGTTTATTTCTGACCAATCAGATTATTGCTTATATTACAATGGCCTGCTTGCAATAACAGTTTATGAGGAACGTTTTGATTTTGTTAGCGATTTAAAATAACACAAAATAATTGGAATTTTATGGTTGTGAAAGTCGAGTCTTACAAGAAATGGTCAGCTTTAGCGATTATCCGGGAGATTTGATACTCTAATCTGGAGACCGGGAGATACGGTCCAAAATCTGGAGACTCCCGGTCTATCCGGGAGAGTTGACAGCCCTGGTGCATGTACATATAAAGTGAGTGCAGCTCATTCAATGTCACACCTTTCACTTTCTCCAGTTTTTGTGTTTAGGACCCAATGAGCCTCGTCAATTTTTCGTCTTCTTTCTTCCTCAAGCTGTTTACGGTAGTCAGACTCTGCTCTTCTCTGCATAAACTATTTCCAGGAAAAATAAAATAAGACTGTATTTTATATAATAACCAGAGGCAACCCAACAACGAAATGGAAAGTGTGGAAAATTAATGTTTTGAAAATGAATTAAAATTAAGTCAAATTAAGCAATTCTAGTATAATTGAAAATATCTACCAATGCAGGATAGGATATATTGAGCATGTGATTAAGCTTATAAGCTTATTATCAACAAGACTTTTTCAAGAGCCACTCACTCGATCGCTTCATAAATTGTATTTTGAAAGACATCTCTTAAAGCACTTCGAAAATTAGACATAACAAAACCAATACTGGGTATTAGCAGAAAAAAATAACGACATAAATTGGATAAATACCTTCATTTCCTTGAGGTTTTTGGAAAGAGCTAACTTTGGTTGTCTGTCTTCCTCCATCTTGATTTTTTTGTATTAAACATGCGCCCGCATACATGTGCCCAGCGGTGTATTCCTCCTCTCCCTTCCCCTCCCTACTGGGGCATCATTTGACTATGTGGCCATTCTCGCCCAAATAAAAGCCTTCTCAGCTTTACGAGAATGTCCTGTGGCTTAAAGACAGATATATGTTTACAAATTTCTTCTTTTCTCTTTAAAAGAACATTCATGTATCCACTGCAAGTTTTACTTAACAAATAGAACAGCTTTTTCCGCGCTCCGTTCAGTAATAAAGCACGCAGGAAGTGACGTAAGCACGAAAGAAGAGTGCTTCTTGAGTGCACTGTGCTCCATTCTCTTATAAAGCTTAGCAAAAATACACAGGTGATTATTGAAAATCTCGTGTGCTGATTGGTCAAGAAACTAACACTATTAAACAATTATTTGACGAAGGCGAAGTGAATATCAGGGTATATTCCTTCCTTCCTTTCTTTCTCCCTTCCTTCCTTCGTTCCTTCGTTCCTTTCTTTCTCTTTTTCGTTCTTTCTTTCTCTTTTTCGTTCTTTCTTTCAATCTTTCTTTCTTTCTTTGGCTTTCTTACTTCCTTACTTCCTTCCTTCCTTCCTTCCTTCCTTCCTTTCTGCCTTCCTTTCTTTCTTTCTTTCTTTCTTTAGCACTTGACATAAGTAGAATACTCCGTTTGACGACTTTATTGTTTTAAAAACTTTTATTTTATATTTAAAAGCAATTCCACTTTCAAACAGCAAAAGCTGTCACGCATATGTCAAATGGAAAGCATATTAAAAACTACAAAAATAACGAAAATCATATAACATTATAAATATTGATTGATTAATATTTTAGTTCAATCAACAGATTGCATTCCATTTTCATCTTGTAACGGCAGCCATCCATCATCATCAGTAATACATCCATCCATCAGTGGTACATGCTGTGGAAGTCTGTTCTTAAAGGCAACAGCTACATKCCATGCCCATCCAAGCTCTTTTTCTGCTTCTTTCAGTTCTTCCTCGCTCCTGTTCTGTGTGAACAAGTAAGCTGAAAGGGCTTCAAACGTCATYTCCAGTTCTTCCATCGTCTTTACGTGTTGAAGGAACTTAGGTCTTGGGCAYGGTCGCAGTGTCGATGCTTTTCTCACAGCTTCTTTGTTCAGGTTGCTGCAAGCTTTCGTAAGTTCATTGTTGTTGACAAAGTCATCCTTAGTTTGGTTGTTCAATTGTAGTTCTCGTCCATTCTCTCCTCTGTTTTCTCCGTCTTCATTTTCTTCTCTCTTTACTTCAGTAACTTGTTCTCCCCCCTTGGTATGTTTTGCTCTGTTTTCTTGAGTATCTTGTGTTTCTCCATCGCCGTCTTCATTAGTTTCTTCGTTATCTTCTCTTTTTGTATCGTCCACATATCTAGTGTTTCTGTTCTTGTAGTAGCGGTATGCAAAGTAGCCAGCAGCCGCTACTCCACTAACTGCTAGCCCTCCAAGTAACAATTGCTTTGCCGACCACATTATTAGAAATATTCCTTTCCGGGGAAAAAA